GTAGGCATTGCGCCAGGGAAGCCTGGTGGCAGGGCTTGCGGAGGGGGATGCTGTGCAGGCGGAGCCTGTTGGGGTGTCTGGGATGGTGTGGTCGACGGTCGGCCGGCGGCTGGGTGAAAAGTCAGTATATGCGCGGGCTGCGGCAACTCCAGTTTGCAAGCCAACGTACCAAGAGCCGCCAGGATGGCGTTGAGGTCTGGAGGAGCGGCCATGGCAGGCTGCGCGTTACCAGAAGATTAGTAGTGAAGTCAGAGAAGATGCAGGGACAGGAAAAACAAGATGTGGAATGGCGAAGGCAAGAAATACGGCAGCTGAGTTGGTCGCGCCGTGGCTGTCTGTCCAGGTAGCAGGAATCTTTGCGGCGAGGGAGAAGAGGAGTCGGGCGCGGCCTTAGTACACGCTAGTGCCAAATTAGCCGAACCAAGTTTCTAGCCCTCTGGCGACTACAAGTGAAGGCACTTTGGGAGAGCCAACCAAGTGCCATCTTTTGATCATTCAAAATCACTGCATATCATATCTTGCATTTTTACTTGGTAGTATGTTTTCGATCCATTGATGGTTCCTAGTCAACACATGCGCCAGGCCTTACGATGCTGCAAGCAAACACTTTAGTAATACCGCAAAGAACGCCGTGCGTCTGCAGAAATAGACGTATTATGCCACCAGTTCACTTTGTAGCAACTCCCAAACCTCTGCTTCTATACTCATGCAAGCTATCCAACTCCCTCCATGCTCGAACTGCAGGCACTGCCTTCCTTTATGTAACAGGGGTGCGGGCGATGCGGACCACCCGTCTGTTGTGAATCCAACATCGCCCACGCAAGATGAACATCATACGAAACCCTGCCAACGCAATGTGATAGGCAGGGCAAACGTATTTATATAGACATTAGAAACGAATCAAGGGGCGATCGACGCGGTGGAATAGATCTGGTACCCAACAGCTGGCCTCGGATGCATACGTGGAGCCCAAAATCCAGGGCTCACTTCTTCATCATCTGTGAGATGTTGTTCCACTTTTGTTTGAGTGCCTCGTGTTCTTCGTTAATCTAGACGTTTCGTTAGCTGTGTCTCAAACTCAACCTAGCTGCAGTAGCCTTACCGTAGCCCATTGCATCTTGACATCGACCAGTTCCTTCTCCATCTCGGCCATTGCATCTTCCAGATTACGGTTCTCGTTGTGAACAACAATGTTCTTTTGCATGACAGTCTCCATCTCGTGCTTCAATCGTGCTTCGACTTCTGCAGGCTGTGTGTCGACAATCTTCTGGAGCTCTTGCACCTTTGTCTTCAGTGTCTCGTTCTCTTCTTCCAAGTTTTCATTCTCAACCTTGGTTTTGATGAGCTCGGAGGCAACCTGAACGTGCTCCATGTCCGATTGTTCGGCTCGGTATTCCAACGACCGCACCTTTTGTTCCAAAGAAGCAACCTTTTCTTTGAGCCCTACAAGCTCGGTGTCGCGGTCCTTTTCTATCCGTCGTTGCTCCTTCCACTCAGCAGTATATTGCTTCAGGGTCTCAGGTGCAATCTTGACAGCTACAGCATCTTTTACAAGCGTGTCAGCGCGGTAAATCTCCTTGTCGATGCCTGCTGTGGAACCAAAGAAACCGTTCTCAAGAATCGAATTTGCAGAAGGGGCTTTGTCAATGTACACGTCAAACAATCGCTCTTTCAGGAAGGTCGTGAGTGTTGCCATATCCTTCATGCCTAGCAGTGTTTCGGCATTCTTCTGCATCAGGACAATGCCAAACTTCAGGATGGCCAACTCGAGACCTTCGCTAAGTATCAGGTCGTAAATGCGCAGGACTAGCTGTAGCGGGAAACGGTATGCGAACAGCGTAAGGAACCATTGCGTGGCATAGAGCTGAGGCTTTACATCCCTACGGCGCAAATGGCAGTAGAGAGCAGGTTCAAAGTCTTCCAAGAGGCGTTCAAACTGGTAGAGATGCAAGTGGAGTCCAGGCATGTCATGTACAAATAGGTCCCGGAGGCCATATTTGTTCATCAACGTTACGAAAAGGCTGAAAGCCTCTTCTTCAGGCATCTTGTAAAGTCAGTAATGTAACAAGGGAAGCATGTATTCAGACTTACGTTGAAGAGTAAAGGCATAGCGATAAAGTTCATGCCCTGAGCGTAGCCAACAGCATCGTCGTACAAAGCGTAAGCCTTGCAAATACCAAAAAGGCCATCCTGTAAACCAGCCGCCATGACGTACTTTGAGTAGCTTGTACGCGCACCCAAGTCACGTTTGATAACTTTTTCCAGTTTCGAGATGGCGGCAGCGCTCTGCTTTTTTTCAGCAGCCACTCTTGCCTGTACCTTGATGGGGTCTTCGGAGTTGTCTGCGGTGAGTGGCGGCGAGGCCGGTGGTACGTTTGTGCTCCCAGTCGTAGTGGGTGGGCTCGAGTAGTCTGAGTGAACTGACGAGGAGGAAGAAGCAACTGACTCCTTCCCAGTCCCGTTTGTCTGTCCACCGTTAAGGTTGGGTGCGCTAAGGCTCATGTGTTCCTTATCTGTGCCACGGGCTACGAGTTCCCGATACGTAACCTCAAGCTCTTCGTTCTTACTTTGCGCCATCACCTGCCAAATGACACCTCGGATGACTTGGGGGATTCCGTTTGCAATGGCATGGTTAAGTTCCTCTGCGCTAGTGCGGGCGATGGCAGCTGGCCCTTCGTTGACCACAGACTGCCAGAGATCCCAATCTACAGGCTCAGCTGCATCACCCGCTGGGCCAGCAGCAAATCCAGATGCAGTTCCGGGGGCCAGCTTTGGATTGATAGTGGGTTGTCTTGTAAGTGATGGTGGGCTTCCTGGCTCGTCTTCGGGAACGATGGGTGGACTGATGAGACCGACACTAGTCGGCCTGGTCACCACAGCAGTTGGGTTGCCGTTGAGACTGGTTTCGTCACCCATCGTTATGCCGGCTTCCTCCCTCATGCGCAAAAACTTGAAACGGTCTCGAAGATTTCCCTGGCTCGTTCGGTTGTTCGAACCAGTCTCGCCCTCACCTTCGGTCCTGCTCGACGAGAGGTCAGGATTGCTACCGATGGTGGCAATGGAAGCCCCTGTGTTTCTTCGTTCCGTCATTGTTGTGGATGATGGTGGAGATTCGGATTTCTTGCTGGTACTATTTCTTGACAGCCACGCGAAAGGACCGGTAAGTTTTCTGGATGTAGTTGGTGGCTTTTCTGGCGCAGTTGAAGCGGCTGAAGCTGTTGAAGCTGTTGAAGCGGCTGGCGCGGCTGGCGCGGCTGGCGGAGCGGGGGGTGGAGGAAATTTAACAGGAGACATCCTTCCGGAGAGGCCTTGGATTGAAGCCGTAGAGTCTTGAGAGTCTCGCAGTGGTGCTTTTGGCACGGAGTCTGGAGCTTTTGCACCGTCTGCAGTGGGTCAGCCTCGGAATCGGGAAACATTTAACTGGCACACGTGGGGAAGCCACAAGTTGGCAGGTGCTGTCGGGAGATATGGATACTCCTGACATTGGAATGCAGGTTTCCATTCTTCACATGGTGTTGTTTGTCTCAAACAGATAGGAAATACGCACCACCATCCAAAGATACATCGTCCATGTCCGATGTTACTGACACTCTCTTGGGTAGGGGTGGCTTTTTGGCAGGTGCATCGTCGGTGGGCTTTTCCGGTTCTTCAGGTTCGCTGCCTGTGCCGGACTCGTCTGTTTCGTCGCTTTCGTCACTGCCATCACTTTCATCATCTTCGTCACTTTCATCGCTATCGTCTTTGCCGTCGTCTTTGCTGCCTTTGGGGGCTGCTGGTGCTACACGTGCAGTCGAGTCCGTCTTGATTTCTTGTACGGTTGATGAGGGTGTCTCCTTTTGAAGTAATGAGCGCGAACGTGACTGTGATTCTTCAGCGGGCGAGTCTGGGCGAGGTGAAGTTTCCGATGCGTCCTCGAAACTGTCCTGTAATCGCATGACCGTTAGCAAACTTGCACACTGAAGCCTTGCCCGTATTGAACAAGGACATGATGGAGAAAATATAAAGTGCGTACCGCGTCCTTGTCGGAACTGTGTGAGCTTGTCGGCCTGTTGTCGGCCATGTTTAGTATGTTTGTGAGGGCCGGCGGTGTGGGTTATTGGGTGGTGCCGAACAACAACTTGAAGGGCAGCCGCAGTCGACGCAGGATAACTCTTTAGTTTTTATTTCGGTGAGAGGTATGGAATAGGGATTAAGGGTTAGTTATTTTTGGTGGTTTTTAACGAAGAAGTCGAGGGGTTCGGGGGTGGTGTGAATGGTTATTGTGAAGATGGGGGGGTACGTGGGTAGTGAACGGACAATAGTGGAGCAACCCCGGCGGCGGCGATGGCGGCCTAGAAGGCCAGGGCTTTGCGAAAGCCACGAAAAGGAGCAACCACTGAAAGTTGTTTTTCGGCGACTCGGCGTCGCATCAAGACTGTTCGTCTCGAGTCTGTGTGGTTGTGGGAATTTTGCTGACAGGTGCGGCTCTCGTCTGCATATGCAATGCGCCCCTCAAGCCAGCTGTTCAGACGACAGCCAGGGTGGTACAACTGCGGTTAACCTGAAACAAAGCCATCGGCTGGCCTCCCGCTCTGTCTGCGAATCGAGGCTGACCAGGCGTTGACGCACGCCACCGGTACACGACGCGCTACCGGTACAACGCTATCGTACATGTGTATTTGACAGCTGTTGATACTTTACTGTGTAGACATGGCTTTGCTTTTACGAGTATGAGCACACATGGGCACACACACACATGGAAGATTAGCTTGCAGCAAGTAAGTAGGTAACGCCTCGCTCCTTCCTGTTGAGCAAGCAGCCACGCGGTGCGCCTTCCTTTTGTGCTTCAGGGGACCACCGCAGCATCAGAGGATACAGGGACGTTGCTTTTTGTTCTTCTCAACCTTATGCCACGACCGCCTCCTCATTTCCCATCCTCCTGCTTCAAACTCTAGCCAACCTGGCTATTCTTTATTGCACAATGGCGCTGCATCAATTTGTCACTCTGAACGCACATGAATTCAATAATGTCAAAAGTAAAATTGTAGGTCAACATCTACGTAAGTTTATATGTACAAGAACACCAACAATTCTTCACCACCACCACATCTCATCTCCTCCTGCGCATTGTGCCATCTCAATTCCTCTAGTTGATGCACTGCGAGTAAAAGTCGTTCTGCTTGACGCACTTGGCAGTGCCCTCGCATTCAGTGGGACCATTGTAGTTGATTCCGCCGCACTGGTAGTAGAGCTTAGCAGTTCCTACAGAGCCAGTGGGCACAGCACCGGCGGGAGCTGTAACGCCAGCAGATGGGCTGGGGAGGGTGGCGAACGTGCTGGGGACAGCCGGAGCCGATGGAAGAGTATCATTGCCAGAAGGGACGGTGGGCGCAAGAGTAGGGGCAGCAGCCTCGTCGGCAATTGAAGAAGGAGCAGGCTCAGTTGAGTTGGAGGCAGGAGGAGCAACGGGAGCAGCGCCACCAGCACCACCGCAAGTAGCAACCGGACCACCAGGAGCCTTGTAGTTGGTGGCAACGTATCCGTTGTAGTAGTTAGGGATGAAGATGTTGGCATCGTCAGCCTTGTAGGCGCCAGGAAGCGAAATGGTAGGTGTGCATGAGCCCTTGCTACCGGTGCCCTTGATCTTCAATTGCATGCAGCCGATATAGAATCTTTGACATGTTAGCTTAGACCTGATAAGTGAAGAGAGGATTAACTTACTGCGCGCCACCCTTTGTCTGAGAAGAGTGGAGTGCCAGCATCTCTGAACGGAGTAGATACTCGCCGCTGGCAAGGCCAGTGGGAAGAGTGAATTCATGCGACATGTTGGCCGCTTGCATGATCTCGGAAGCCCACTTTCCACCAACAAAGTCCATCTCGTCAATCTTGAACCATCCGGCTCCGATACCAGTGGCTTGGGAAGCATCATCGACGGGGCCAAACAGCATGTGCGTAATCGGTCCCGGATGGCCAGAGTTATCCCACTGGACCTTGATCTTGTCACCCTCGCTAGCCTCGATTGTCTTGACGCCAGATGGAACCTTGGAGCCGCCAACGTTGCAGGCCATGTCGTTGCTCGTCAAATCGACTACGGGGCTGTTGGAGGGTGGCATCCGGATGCCGACCTGGTATCCGGGCGTGACATCGTTGACCCAAAGCTGGTGGAGGTTCTGGTGAGCCGAGACGGCGGAGAGAAGAGCGCTCGTGAAGATGGCCTTGGTGAACATGGTGACGTGTGTTGAATAAGTGTTATGTACAGTGTTTGGGTTTCAAATGTGTGATGGTGATGCCTGATCACAAAGATGGAATGTAAGGTAAAGAATGAATGTGGTAGAAAGGAACTTAGTGAATGTGTTCAAAGAAAGGACTGGCCTGTTGGAATGATGGAAAAAATCCATGAGGGACGACTGTCCAGCGCTTTTATGTGTGTCCAAACGCTGATCCTTTGCTTCAATTAGGCGCCTGCACAGGATAGTATATCTCCGAAGACTACGGCGAGCCGCCATGAATCCTTCGCGGCAACAGTTCGCACTATCCCGGCCACTGGGTGCGGGAACGACATTGCTTTGACAGGAACCAAGTCGCGGCACGTCAGCGGCTTGTCTAGAATAAGCAATGAATTTACTCCATGTGGTAAAGTTGTAGTGCGCCATTATGCAATATGTACTATCCGAGATTGAATGTTCATGATAGTGGAGAAGCGAGTGTTTCCAAGTCTGCCGGAACGGGCTAGCCGACTTGTTTCGTGCTTGTTTCAAAACGAAAGCTCCTGTAGCGACTCGCCATCAATATGCAGAATCAGGCTCGACAGCCGTTCCACGTCCAATTTATTCTAGAAACTGGGATTGAACGGAAGAAATAGACAGCGAATTCCCGCCAAGGGTGTCGGAAATGAAAGAAAGGCATGGTAATGGGTAATGAAGATAACAAAATGAAAAGATAGAAGCCCATTACTCTCTTCAGTGGAATAGCATATTTTACTTTTTAGAGCATTTGATGACGCTGCAGTCCATGACGCATCGTGCTGGCGCCTACAGTGGGGCAGTTTCGAACAAAAACGTCTTGCTCAAGGTATCCCTCTCGTGATTGTGACGAAGCCCGTAGGCGCCGAGGCAACAGTTCTCCCCACATCTGATGATATCCTGCCAAGCTCATTCCCTACATCAGGTAATCCATCGTTCCCACTAATAGGTAAAGGGTTTGTTGGACTTGGCGTCTGCGCAATAGATGTTGTGGTGCTTGTCGGGGCGGCAAAGAGTCTTGTGGATACTGACACAGTCCCCTGCACTAGTTCTCCATGAATATAAACGGTGATTTCCTGTGCGGCAAAGCTCGGTGGGATTGGTCGGACAATGGATAGGAACCGTGCGCCAAATAACATGGATGCGTACTACATGGTAGTGAGGAAGAAGATTACAAACAGTACCCAGGGAATCAAGACGCGTTTTACGGGTATGCGGCTGCGTGGAGGAAGTGCCGCTGGAAATCCCGGTGGAGTTGAGTTTGCAAATTGCGGACGATTGGGATCCGAGTACTACTACTACTATCCCTCCATGTGTGGCGGAAAACCCTGCGTGGCGGCATGCCGGTGATGCTCCCACCACAACAAACGAAACCCCAGCCCAGAGGCATAGCGAGTCTCGGGATAGAGTCCTTGACCTTAGAGCTTTCTCTGTACTCTATCTCGTCGCCTACAAGCTCCTGCTTGGCTAGCAATACCACGACTCGCTGCCAGCATACACGGCAGCCCCGCCTCGGGCAGCCTCGGACGCGCCAAAGGCTTAACGTATGTTTCAAAAAGCGTGTCAAGCTGTACAAATACACATGGAGAGTGTATCCCGAGCGAGATACTATGGTATCCTAGGTCGTAGTGCTGTTGCGCAAGTCTATTGCTCTACAGAGCAGGACTGACAACGAAGGCGCGCTACCTGTACGTCGTACAAAAATACTGTAAGAGGCTTAGTGGTGTTCTATCAGTACAGATGCTAGATCCTTGTCCCGCGAGCGTAGCTTAGACAGAGCCACCTAGCTAGCGGCTAAGGCTAAGCATAACTCGCTCATTAACTGGTGCGGTCCAACGTGATCGAATACATGCTTAGACACCGCACTGGAATCCACGCACGCCTGTTTTAAGAGTGAATGATGAGTAGTAGAGGTAGAAGCTTACATGTAGTCCTGTAGTAGTATTGAAATTGGCTTAGAGTAATTGATACATATAATTGTAGAATCTGTTATCTCTACCTCACAGACTTTGAGCTTCCAATACCTATCTTTGCTAGCCCTCGTACCAGCTTTGACTGTTTGCCTGCGTATGCACGTGCGCTGCTATCCGTAGTTATAGGAGAGATAGCAAGCTGGTGCTGCTTGTGAGATGCAAGCGCGTAATCATAATGCTGGTGACACGCATGCGTGGTTGAGTGAGCCTTCCCAAGCGTAGTTTCGTACCCAGTGCATGCTCTCTTGTATAGAGCAAAGGCTTCGTTGTAGCGACGCTGATGTGTAAGAAGATTGGCAAGGCAGTATACGCTCGTCAGCGTGGATAGGTGCTCATGCCCGAGCACCTTCTCCCTCCGCGCCAGCGTCTGTCGGCTCATCGCCTCTGCCTCTTCGTACTTGCCCTGCCTATCTAGTAGTAGTACTAACTTGTGCATACTCATCAGCGTGTCTGGATGCTCATGCCCAAGCACCTTCTCCATTAACGTTAGCGTCTGTCGGCTCATCACCTCCGCCTCTTCGTACTTGCCCTGCCTATCTAGTAATAGTACTAAGTTATTCATACTTATTAGCGTGTGTGGATGCTCATGCCCGAGCACCTTCTCCCTCCGTGCCAGCGTCTGTCGGCTCATCGCCTCTGCCTCTTCGTACTTTCCCTGGCTGCCCAGCACGTGTGCCAAGTTGTGCATGCTCATTAGAGCGTGTGGATGCTCATGCCCGAGCACCTTCTCCCTCCGCGTCAGCGTCTGTCGGCTCATCGCCTCTGCTTCTTCGTACTTCCCCTGGCTGTCCAGCACGTGTGCCAAGTTGTGCATGCTCATTAGCGTATGCGGATGCTCATGTCCAAGCACCTTCTTCCTCCGTGCCAGCGTCTGTCGGCTC